CTGTGCCAGGAGGGCGCCCTGACATTGTGCATCATGCAAATGCCTGTGCAGCATCAGGACGGCATCGGGGTGGGATTGGAGTGGCCAGCGTGTGGCTGCTTCGCCCCAACTCAGCACCAAGCTGGCCATTTGGCTGGTCTGCAATGCCCCTTAGTCAAACTTAAGAGAAGCCAAACTCAATCAATAACTTGTGTCATTTATTTCAATGGGCACATTATTAGTATAAGTCTGAATCAAACCTACTATATAAAAAACCCATCAGAGCACCACTTCCCTTTCCTTTTCCACAGACAGCATTTGTGTTGTTGATGTTATATGACTTTCAATTTGACTCCTACTTAAGGTAACCACACAAGTATGCAGGGGTTTTTTTAAGGATAGGGTTAGGATTGGCTTACTTATCAACCTACATAATTAAAAATGAACAGACCTGAACAATCTATTAATAAGTAACAGTAAATTAATAAGTAACATTCATAAAATCAGATGGGACACTCCAGTAATGATCCTTGATGTAACAATAATTTTTGAACATATCTACATCTCTGTTTTATCTGCAAAATTAAAAAGGCTGATTTAAAATGTGTCCTTTGAAAAACATACAGCAAGGAGTTAAGTTGCTAAACAATTATCACACTGGGGGGGGGGGAGGAAGATTCAGCAACTGCTATAATAACCAGTGCAAAGTTAAGAGCTGATTTTTCCAGCTTGCCATCTGGAGTAATGATTGCAAGCACAATAAATTTGCTTGAAATGGCCAGGCAAGAACACATCCAAGCATTATCCACAGATAGACCAAAAGCAATCTTGTTCACTTTAAATTGTTTTTTAGTATCTTCTGTTATCAGTCGCAGCTTTTCCTAAAAGTTGGCTGAACTTGAAAACAACCAATGAAATTGGCAAGGAAACTCAAACTACAAGACAATTAATTGCATCAGTGAGATTTAAAAACAACAACACAGAGATGGGTGATAGCAAGATTATTTATATCCCAAATAACAACTTAATAAAGCACAAATAAAACAAAGACAATCCAAGTGTTTGGAACGGATCTTTTTTCTCTTCGGTAAAGTTCCAGAGAACGTAAATCAGACAAGGCAAAATGACCTCAAGACTCTGAAAAGACAGGACAGATCTGTGTCAGAGTGCCAGGCGACATAATCTTGAATTAAAAAGCAAAACAAATTATCATTTCCAATATGAGTTATACTAAGAAACAGCTGGCAGCCTTGTCATCAATTCAAAAAGATGGCAGTCTGTCCTGATCTTTAATGGCTTAGGAACATGTTTTGTTGCTCATAGCATGTCCAGAGATTAATGCAAATGTCATATCTTGCCAAAGCTGATAACAAAATCTACCATGTCAAATAATCACATGTAGCTCTGCAATAAAAGAACACCATTAAATACATGCCAATCATTCAAATAGGGTCAAATGTGCAATGTTCCACTGCTGTCTTGAAGATAAAAGAAAGACCTAAAAGTCTGTGAGGAAAGCTGAGGCTGTCTGGGGACTTTTAATTAGATCGAGGACAAATAATATTGCAAATTTAAAGCAGAAGTTTGTATAATTACAAACAGAGCCTGTGTGGCATAGTGGTTTGAGTACTGAACTATGACTACGGAGACTAGGATTTGATTCCCAGCTCTGCCATAAAACAACTGGGTGACCTTGGGCAAGTCACATGCTTTAAGCTTAAAGGGAAGGCAATGCCAAACCTTCTCTGAACAAATCATTGTGAAGAAAATGTTGGGAACAATGTTCCGTTAAGATGTAAATAGTTTGTATGGCTGGAAATGATAAGTAACACCAGGTGTCAACATCTAGCTTTCTCCTCTGTATATAAGTGCTCTGAGACTCTGGGCACATGTGGGTTGGTGTGTTGGTTGGAGAAAGTGGATTGTTGTATAGCAGACAGTGAATGTTTTTTGTTCCAGTTTGCAGTATTTGGCAATATTGCACTGACCAACCTTGAATGATCCACAGACACAGTTGGATTCTTCCAAAGTCTTTGGAGACTCTTTTATCTCTTGTGGCATTATGTACAAGATGGGAACTACATTCATTTCCTGCTTAGGGAAACAATTCTCACAAGTTTTGTTTGCTTCAAGTTTGAAAAACTGTTTTCTTACTGTATCTATCTTAACTGGTGATGGGTATAAGGTGGTGTTTGTGAAAAATGAATGCTTAATTTCTAAGGATGGTAAGGTCTGTGCAAAGGGTGATAAAAGGGACAGACTGTTTTACTTGCATCTGCAGGCATACAAGCCAAAACTAGTTAATATGCAATGTGCCCTTGCATGATCAGTGTGTGCATTAACTGCATAGGGTGCCTGGCCATGCCATTTTTGCTACATTAGCACAGTTGGCATGGGTGTGTCCAGAGGTTAAAGTAGAGCTATGCCAAAAGTTCCTGCACTGAACTATCTGCAACAAGCTTAAAAGGCTTTTCCTGTTGCCAAGGAAAACCAAAGAGTAACAAAACAGCCCTTCTAGGTGGTTCTTGGGACACCTTGCTGGACCGTTTAAGGCAAGTGTGGGAGGTGCTCAATATTTTTTTGTTTTGGTTGATCACTATAAAAGATATGGCTTTGTGTATGTGCAAAACTGGCTAAGGACAAAGGGCATTCAACATAAAACAATGAACCCCCATAGCCCATCTGAGAAAGGCCTAGCTGAGTGAAAGGTGGGTTTATTGCAATCCATGAAGGACTGTATGCTGGTTGATGCCCAAGCACCCAGTAATTTGTGGGGTGAAGCTGTGATATGTGCAAACCATGTCTTAAACAGGGTCTGGAGTTCTAGTGTTAACCAGACACCTTACTATATAATGTATGGTAGGGAACCTTGTTTAAAATATCTGAGAGTTTTGGACTGTTTGCCAATGTCATGATCCTTAAGACCTTATGGAGTAAAGGTCAGCCTAAGTGGCAAAGGTTAAGGTTTGTGGGATATACAGGTACCGGTAATAAGTACAGGTTTGTCCTAGGAAATGGACAAGTTGTGTTTGTAAACAATGCTGATTTTGAAATACAGAGTGGATGGGACATGATTCATGTAAACCAGGAAGTATATGTTCGACCACAAGCCCCAGAGGAACCAATATCCACAAATTAAGGGGTGGAAGTCCCTGATAATGCACAACAGCAGGCAAGCACTTCACAACACACACTTGATGTCTCCACATCAGAGATAAAGATCAAAGAGGTAGTAAAGGTTAGTAGTGAAGAATGCACTCAACTTTTCTATTTAATTGTCAAGTTGTATAAGGAAGACAATGGTGAAACTGAATTCTTTGTTGTACCAAGTGGTAAAGTGTGTAGTGTTGCATGTAACGATATAAGTTATCTTAACAATATGCATGTTATCTTTAAGCAGAGGCTGGATGGCCATCTGTTGGGGATGCTTTGATTTGGATTTCCTGCATGGCAGGGGGTTGGACTGGATGGCCCGTGCAGTCTCTTCCAACTCTATGATTCTATGATTCTATGATTCTAAGTTGTGAACCAGATGTGCATAACCATCCAGTTGAGGGGCAAGAGAGTGTGAATACTGTGGTATCTATATGTGAACCATTGGATGCTGGAAATGTATTTTAAAATGTTAACTTGCCAAGGGACCAGAGTAATGTCGGGGGGGGGTGTACAAAAAGAGCAGAAAATGCTAGATGGGTATACTAAATACAACACAGGGAATAGGACTAAGAAAGGAGAAATAGCTTTGAGTCATAAAGCAAACACCAACGAGGTATTCAGACAGTGCAAAGGTCCTATGGATTCTCAGACCTGCATAATGAATGGCGGAGAGAGAGAATTTAAACAGCAGAACAAAATACGTTGATGTAAGGTGCACAAATGTAAGACAAATGATACAGGAAGGAGTATTGACATTAGAGTATTATATGTCAGAGAAAAATGTGGATGACACATTTACAAAGGCTTTGTCAGCACAGAGGCACAAGGAAATGATTGTCTTACTAGGCTTATGTAAACACCAAGAACAATAATGTCAAACTGTATATTTATGTAATCCTATTGTACTTCTAATTATTATGTTCTATTTTTGTATAATTTCACCATAACAAATTATTTTGGATTGTTGGGATTGTTGGGAACAATGGGCCTAAGCAGATGGGTAGCCGTGGGCTGGCCAGGGAAGCTGCAGATTGGGGCCGAGGTAGCCACACTCCTCGGCTCCAATCTGCAGCTTCTCAGGCCCTGGAAGGAGCGCAAGAGGCCTTGGGTGCACCTTCGGCATCTCTTCTGCTGCAGCGTGTGTGGACACTGCAGCGGAAGTACATCGTCGGAACACCGGTCGTGCGGGTGCACTGATGACGTGTTTGGGAAGGTGTTGGGGCACCCAGCGTGAGGCTGCCCCTCCCCTTCCTTGCCTCAAAGACGGCACAAAGCACCGTATGCTTAGGCCCAATGTTCCATTAAGATGTTGTAAAATAGTTTGTATGGCTGGAAATAAGCAATGCCAGGTGTTGACACTTAGTTATCTCCACTGTATATAAGTGCTCAGACTCAGGGTACATGTGGGTTGAAGAAAGTGAGTTGGTTGGAGAAAGTGGATTGTTGTACAGCAGACAGAGAATGTTGGTGAAAGTCAAAGGAG